TATTTTACCACCTTTATATTTCTGAAATATTATAAAAAATAATATCTTAAATTTGTTAAAGCGTTCGTCATGCATTAAAAATGTTAATGCGGTGTAAAAAAACTCTTTCACGCAATTTTAAAAGATTGTTTGTACCCAAAAATGCTTTTGACATTTTAAAAAAGATTCATGCATTCAAAAATATATCTGTAAAAATTTGTAAAAAGTTTATACAATGTAAACAAATCACCATCAATTTCAACAATGTATCGTACCATTAAAAAACTGTTACTGACAAATAAATGTTCATGTGTTTAAAGTTGTCTTTATGACACTTGAACGGACTATTTAACCATGTAAACAATATGCTCGCTTAATTTTTAAAACATGTTTCGTATCATCCAAAAATGTTCATGACCTTTAAAAAAATTAACATGTATCAAATGTTGGTCACGTTTTTAAGAAAATGTTCAAAACATTTATGAAAAATGCCCAATGCATGTTAAAATTATATTAATTGTGAATTTGACAAATATTCAATGTATTCAAGAAAATGTTCAACGTGTATTTGAGAAATGGTTACCTGTATCTAAAATGTGTTCAACCTATATACAAAAATATTGATTGTCTATATGGAAAAAGTTTGCATGTGTTGGAAAAATGACGAGAAAAATAAATAGAAATAACATAGAAAGCAAAAAAAAAAAAACGATATAGAAATCATGAAGGAAGAAAACTGCACGAAAACTTCTAACACTGGTCGATGGAAGCTTCCTATAACCGCTCGCAGAAAATTCATAGGAACGCACAAGGCTTTCTCTGGCGACATGAGCAAGAAGAGCTACCATCTCGCAAAGAGCGAGACATAGGTCTCACGGTGAATAGACAACCACGTAAATATCAGCACGTGTATCGGAACGTGTGGAGTAGCTGGTTGGTTAGTGCGAGTTATAGGTTCCGAGTTTGAATATGCCGTGGCACATTTCTTGTGGTTTTACCAGACAAAAAAGGAGCGTGAAGGGGGTGTGTGCGCCAGTTTGCAGATAACAACACTATAACAGGTGCTACGGGTGCCAACAGGAGCTACGGGTACCAAATAGTCAGTGCCATAGGCACGAGACATTCCCCCTTCCGAAGGATGCTGATGTTGTTTGTCCTTACGGCCCGTGGGCTTAATTCTGTCAGCACTATTGATTATTGAAGCGGTTGCTTCAAGCAAACATGCTGCTGCTGCCACACCAAACAGTATGCATATGAAACTTGCTTCCTCTCAGCTCAAAAAAGAACCTTGTTTACTCTAATAATAGGAGAAGATCTGATATTTTTTGTGCGAATATTTGTCAGAAATTAAAATAATGAATCCGGAACAACGAAATTAAGGAAGAGATGTTTATGGTTTGTGTTTTCTAGTCAAAGCATCCTGAGAGACTGTTACAGACCATTAATAACTTCGTCCGCACCAGATCCATCGAGATGGGAACAACAACTTTAAATCAGAAAAGCAGTCAGTTTCGAAGGTGTTTGGAATCAATCAGAATCTCCTCTCCCAGCCCTCCATCAGGCACCCTGGTGAGTGTTGTTTGCGTTCGTCGCCGCGGCTGCAGAGGAGGCCTGGCCACCAGCCGACTGCATATCTGCACCCAACATCAAAACATCACTACTTCTGACGTGAAAACACCTTCGAATCCCCTATAAACCCAGCGCAAAAAACGAAAGAAATTCTATGCTCGACATACCGGTTGTGTTGGGAGGCAGCATCGACACTGCATGGGAGGGCAGCTGCAGCGCGAAGTTGTGCGGAAGAGAAGGCACCTGCATGGAGAAGCCCTGCATCTGCGCCGCCGCCGGGTGCGGCACGTACGGCTGCCCCGTCGCGATCTGCTGCGCCACCGGCGAGAGCACTGCTGCCCTCGGCGTCGGGGCCTGCATGTACCCCACGTACTGATGGTAGGGCGGTGGCCCTGTCGGCGACGCCAGCCCAGCAGCGTACAGCTGAGCATAGTAGTTCTGCATCATCTGAGGGGTCATCATGGCCTGCAGATCACTCATGGGTTATCATACAAGCGTAGGAAGAAACATGGCCACGACTGGAACATCATTGTGTCAGTCAGTGCCCGAACAATCAGCACCGATCATTTGGAAATGAATGGTCGGTCGATGGCTCAAAGTGTTTCCAAATCCTAACGGTGCAACTAATCTTTATCCTGTACCAAGATCTTGGAATGTTTCTGTCAAAAAATGTCACGGGTGCAGCTAGCGAACCATGAGTGAGCCGTGCGGTTTATCTTGGCAGGGGCAGCCCAGCGGACGAGCCGCTCGTTGGGCATGTGGCTAGCTAGCTAGCGCGCGAGTGGCATGCACTGGGCTGGGCTGGCTAGTGTATGCTGCGCTGCATGTGATAAAAGGTACTGGAAGCAAAGAAGGTGGGCGTTGAGGGGGCACAGCAGAGCAGGGGGACATGCTTACCTGTGGGTATTGATACTCAGGTGGGCACCAGTACCTGCAAGCAAAAGACATCGCAAAGCTTCTTCAGCGAGTGATATGATCCGGGAAAAAAGAGAAAAGCTTGGGCCTGGCCCCCTGGGTAGTTATAAGAGGCCTACTTATCCATTACCAAGGCTGTAAAGTCCAGAATCTAGATCATTGACCTACCTAGCCCACAACTCACCTACTAAAAGAAAAACCTAGCCCACAACTGTCTAGGACCATCCTGTTTATGACTAGAAAAAAGCCTCTCCACCTTTTTTTTCTAACTTCTACCACTAATAAATGAATAAAACTACTCAGGTTTCTCTTTCCTTTCTCAAGGAAAAAGACTTACCTGCCCTAAAAAATTTCAACAGAGAAAGCTGATAACTGCCACAAACACCTGTAAAAACTAGGAATGGCAATGGTGCACGCTGGACGCATTAAAAACCCTGCAGCAAGCAAACCAACAGGCGCAGAAGATGTTGGCAGGCGAGGCAACACGCTGCATGGCGAAAGAGACCCACGCCACCACGAGAAAGGGCTGGGGGACCGTCTCCGGTCCGGTCAGCCTCCCGCCTCCCTTCCCTCCACCGCCCACCCAAACTGATCACGACCTCTATCACTTACTATCACCCATGCATGCTTGTAGGTGTAGCCATGTGGAATTTGCAGAGAGAAGACGAGAGGATCAGAGGACGGGTGCTGGCTTGGCTTACCCGCCATATGGCTGCGAAGAAGGGTGGGGGTAGATCGCCGGGCCAGGGCTGGGCATCGGGCCCATCTGCGGCGACTGCGGAGCCCTGGGGATGGGGATATAGTAGTGCGGGCCCTGCTGCGGCACCGGAGCCGGCGGGCCCTGCTGCCAGTAGGGCCCGGGCGACGGCCTGCCTGCATTCATCCATTCATTCATTCACCATGTTAGTAGTACATTTACATTGTCAGTAAATACACGATAAGATTCTTAAAAAAAGTTAAATACATGATGAACCCATTTCTCCGCCATGGTATGCGCCGCAGAGCGGCAGAGGGCGCGAAAGCAACAACACCAAGCAAGTAAATGAAGCAGTACGTGCGCGTCAGATGTGTGCATGTCTGCATGTACAATCGTACGTTTCCGGCGCGCAAAACGCTACGAAAATAAAACATATAAACTGCTGGCCTCGGTCGACCGATCGATCTGCGGCGGAGAGCCGGGAAAGGGCCTCGCCATGTGCGACTTTGACCGGCCGGTTTTGGCAGGCGAGTACTAGTACCACCACTGCTAACTGTTGGCGCTCTCACGCCTTGCAGGCCACGGAAGCCCTCTGCCTTCCCGGAGAAAAATATTGGTCACCGCTCAGTACAGCCTACTACAGCCTACATACAGGAGCATCAAATTCTGGTTGGCGTCGTGGCCCTCTTGGTGCTAAACTACTGTTTTTTCCTGAGGAAACAAGATACCTGACTCCTAGTAGTAATGACGAGGTAAGCAGGGGCTAAACCGGTCAAAGGGTATATACGTCGAGGCATTTTCTATAGGTTGCTTGCTGGATTCTGTTTTTACCGCTGGAAAGCGGGGCTCCTGATCGATCCTCCTCCACTCCACCCGACAGTTATCTTGTCCTTTACACCACATCCCTGCTGCCATGC